CCCAATAAAATACATTTACGTTTTTGGTGGTAACCTGACAAAATGTGGAAAATGTCAAGGGGTATGAATACTTTTTCAAGGCACTGTATAGCGTTTTGATCTATTGATTCTGATACTTTTACTGTATAGTTCAAGATTATTACTGGTGGTTAAAAAAAAATCAGGTGCCCCAGCCAGCAAAAAAGCCTTTTTGAAATGAATCAGATTTGGGTGCTGCTGCAGTATTTAAGCTGTGTGAGTGTTAAAAAATCAATTACACATCCAAATTATGCAATCCCATAATACAGTGTTGCTGATGCTATCCTTGAAAATCGTACTGTTCTGTAACATCAAATACAGCTTAAAGGCATCTCACAAGCATGTAATGTAAAGGATTGTTTTTTCCATGTCACTCTGTAATAAATGAAGCCACACCACAATGTATTTGAAAATAAGTTTTTTTGCGTTTGTTTAATGTCCCCCATGGCAGTGCCCAGCTTGCCCTTTTTCACAATAGTTTGCCTATTAGCCTTGAAAATGGATAGAATTTAGTATAAAGATTTGCCCCCCCCCCCTTCCTATAGGCTTCAATAGGGCTCACTGCTAAGTTTGGATTTGATGGATTTCAAGTGAGATTCAACAACCCCTATGAATTGAACCTGGGCAGATATGCTCCTCCCCACTTTGCACTGCCATATTCACTAATCTATTATATGTTTCTGGTGAATGCACACACGCTGCAATCTATTCACTGTCTGAAAGCAAAAAAAAAAAAAAAAACGAACAGGGTTTAGTTGGAAACTGAATGCTTGTATGCATATACACGTTTAGGTATGTAATGGTAATCCTTCTTAAACTGACCATACATGGATCAAAATTCAGCCAGTTCATCAGTGACCAGCTGAATTCTGATCCATGTAAGGACAGAGTGGTTATACTGAAGTTGATCTATCATTCGACTTCAGTACAACCACCCTGTTAGAATTTTGCTGCTTGATCAACACTGCTGGCTATAGCTGGCAGTGCTGATCAATGTACAGTGTTCTAACGGCAGGGAAGTCTACCTGCCATCAGAATACAATAAGGGAGGATTGCACACATGCATACATTCAAGGTGGATGGGGGAATCCCTAACCCCCCCCCAAAAAAAAATGAATAGTCTGTGCGCTGCCTTAGTTCTGTTTACTAATGGAACAACATTTTAAGGATGTGTTTAGAATGGTGTTAGTTGTATATTCAAGCTGCACCTGCTCCAGACTTGCCGGGAAGCAAATGGAAATGAACTCTCCTGGTGTCCACTGGTTCTCTGAACCCTATGGACCAAAGGTTTTCCGGCCATGATCCCCATATTTAATATGCTTTTTTACTGCACATGCTCAGTAACTCAAATAAGAGGGATGCTGTGTTCTTGGGACACAGCATCATCAGGAAAGAGCACCTAGGTGCAGGACTACCCCAGGAAAATCTGGGACAGCTGGCATCTATGAGGAAAACAGTCCTGCAAGAACAGGGCAAATTGTGTAAAACATCTTTGTGTGATGTAGTATTGGAAAGTTGGATACCTTAACTCAGTAATTTAAAGAGGTATCCACATAATGTACTTTTTCCTATACAATGTAAGTATGGATGTTGGGTGTTCACTAACTTTTGGCCATAGTGCACTGTAGCTTGCCCCGGACCCGTTCTAGCCCATTGAACACATGAAACAAGTATTCTAGCCAAATCCTTTTCTTTTATTATTGGGTTTGGAAACAGCAGTTTTTATTGTTAAATGAGAAATAGTCCCTTCACTTCCACTGCTGCTGACAGGTGCCATCAAGACAGGAGATCTGTCTAATAGAGGTACTAACAGCAACAACACACCCTAATTAAATAGTCAGGAGAGGGTTGAAGTTCTCCTGGATGGTTATTGCTGTCTGATGGAGACATTCTGCTAATTCCCTGCCCCAGTATCAATGCTTCAAAGAGCAGAACATGAGGGAAAGTCTCATCAACAGATGTGTAGAAAAATAAAATCGGACAGAAGTTCTAAACTTTAGGGCTCATGTACACGGGACGTTTAGAAAACTCTTCTGAACGATGGAAACTGACTGCTGGAAAACGTAGGTTAAAAAACATCAGTTTACGCACGTTTATGTTTAGAAGCATTTTTAACAGATGACCTCAGGAGATCTTCCCAAATGCCCAGAATGCACTGAAAATAGGAAAAATAGTAAATAATCAACTATTTCAGACATTTTGAGAGAAATAGAGAAAGCAGAAGCAGAGAGAGCAGTATTTGTTGAGATTACCTGTCTTTTCTGGTTGTATTCACTATGGATCCCATCATGAGCATAATGCGGCACGTTCTACCATTTTTTCCTTCACGTAAAACCTGGAACTGACTGCACTGGTGTACTAAGTCCATTTGAATCCATGGAAAATGCTTTGCATGCACTTCTGATGATGAAAAAAGGCTCTGGACAGCATCTGGATATGGAACAGTTAAAAAACGCTTATAAACACAGTTAACCGCTTTTACAACCGGGTTATTACACGCTTATACACTCACCAGACACTTTATTAGGTAGACCTATTCAATTGCCTGGTAACACAAATTGCTAATCAGCCAACCACATGGCAGCAACTACATGCATTTACGCATCTAGATGGCAGCTTTTTGGACAAAAATGCCTTGTTGCCAACACCTTGTTGAATCTACGCCATGAAGAATAAAGGCAGTTCTGAAGGCAAAAGGGGGTCCAACACGGTACTAGCAAGGTGTACCTAATAAAGTGGCTGGTGAGTGTATATATTTTCCAATTTACTAAGATGAAAAAGAGGAACTCCTTTTATATACAAAGTATTTAGGCAAAGGATACTCGTCTTCTATGTCTCCAGGAATGCCAAAGAAGAATTATGTAAAAAATGACTGGTGGAACCCACATGTTTTTTTTTTACAACCACTTTTTCTTACTGGGTTTTGCAAAAAAAAAAACAAAAAACAAATGTAATAATTTAAAGTTGAATGAAAAGATTAGCCAGTGTCTAAATAATACCTTTTGTAACACAAGGCATACTTTTTTTTTTTTATATTGGCTAGAGTAAGCGAGGATTATAACCCCTGTCAGTTTTTTTTTTCTCATCTGTATCCCATAGGGGAGATTTCCTTTTACTTCCTGTCCCACAGCCAAACCGGGAATGGAGTGGAAATCCCCCAAAGTAAGGGAAGCCCACTGTGTCACCAGGGTCAGCAGAACGAGTGTCCCCATTGGAAGCTATCCCCTCTATTACTGTTCTGGTGTCAACCCAAAATTTGGGATTTTCTTTTACTTTCACTTTATATGATACTGGAAAACAGGATTATTCATCCTCCCCTGACCTCAATCCTATTGAGAACCTGTGGAGCATCCTCAAGCAAAAGATCTATGAGGGTGGGAGGCACTTTACATCCAAACAGCAGCTCTGGGAGGCTATTCTGACATCTTGCAAACAAATTCAAGCAGAAACTGTCCAAAAACTCACAAGTTCAATGGATGCAAGACTTGTGAAGCTGCTATCAAATAAGGGGGCCTATGTTACAATGTACCGTGACCTGTTAAAATGTTTAAAAAGTTAAAATGTTGTTAAAAGTTTAATTGAAATAGCTTTTGATTTCAGTAAATATGCTGCAAACACAACAAATGACAATTTTCAGTTCTTTACAACCTATAAAGTGTTTAGAAACTTACTGTGCGTAATAATTTGGAACAGAGCATTGTAAGTGTTTTATGTTTAAAAAAAAATACTGTTATTATTAGGAGGTTTGTTTAATAAAATTTGAATTGTACTCTTAATAGTTGATAACATGAGAATTATGCTGACTGTTATTTACATCAGTTATTTAGGTAAATGAGAAAAATATCATTTGCATAATAATTTGGAACAGGGTGTAAAGCGGAGTTCCAGCTAAAGAAAAAAAAAAAAATCAACAGCTACAAAAACTGTAGCTGCTGACTTTTAAAATACAGCCACTTACCTGCCCTCGGTCCAGCGGTGTCCTCACCACCTCTGGTTTCACCGGCCGTCTTCTCTCCCTGACGCCGGCATCTTCAGTGTGGGCACCCGGCTGTGACAGCTTGCGGCTTCACAGCTGGGTGCCTACTACGCATGCGCGAGAAGCACTGCTCCTTGTGAATGGCTCTGTAGTCTTCTGGGACCTGTCACGTGTCCCAGAAGACTACGGGGAGGGAGGGGGGAGGACAACTTCTGCTTCCGATCGCCCAGGCGATCGCAGTGGAAGTGGGAGCGGGTACCTGTCAAATTTTGGTACCCTCTCCCCCCGGTCATCTCCTGTACTGTGTCCGCAGTCCCTGGTCATCTCCTGTACTGTGTCTGCAGTCTCTGGTCATCTCCTGTACCATGTCCGCAGTCTCTGGTCATCTCCTGTACTATGTCCGCAGTCTCTGGTCATCTCCTGTACTATGTCCGCAGTCTCTGGTCATCTGTACTGTGTCCGCAGTCTCTGGTCATCCCCTGTACTGTGTCCACAGTCTCTGGTCATCCCCTGTACTGTGTCCGCAGTCTCTGGTCATCCCCTGTACTGTGTCCGCAGTCTCTGGTCATCTCCTGTACTGTGTCCGCAGTCTCTGGTCATCTCCTGTACTGTGTCCGCAGTCTCTCGTCATCTCCTGTACTGTGTCCGCAGTCTCTGGTCATCTCCTGTGCTGTGTCCGCAGTCTCTGGTCATCTCCTGTGCTGTGTCCGCAGTCTCTGGTCATCTCCTGTACTGTGTCCGCAGTCTCTGGTCATCTCCTGTACTGTGTCCGCAGTCTCTGGTCCATCTCCTGTACTGTGTCCGCAGTCTCTGGTCATCTCCTGTACTGTGTCCGCAGTCTCTGGTCATCTCCTGTACTGTGTCTATAGTCTCTGGTCATCTCCTGTACTATGTCTATAGTCTCTGGTCATCTCCTGTACTATGTCCGCAGTCTCTGGTCATCTCTTGTATTATGTCTGCAGTCTCTGGTCATCTCCTGTACTGTGTCCGCAGTCTCTGGTCATCTCCTGTACTGTGTCCGCAGTCTCTGGTCATCTCCTGTACTGTGTCCGCAGTCTCTGGTCATCTCCTGTACTGTGTCCGCAGTCTCTGGTCATCTCCTGTACTGTGTCCGCAGTCTCTGGTCATCTCCTGTACTGTGTCCGCAGTCTCTGGTCATCTCCTGTACTGTGTCCGCAGTCTCTGGTCCATCTCCTGTACTGTGTCCGCAGTCTCTGGTCATCTCCTGTACTGTGTCCGCAGTCTCTGGTCCATCTCCTGTACTGTGTCCGCAGTCTCTGGTCATCTCTTGTACTGTGTCCGCAGTCTCTGGTCATCTCCTGTACTATGTCTATAGTCTCTGGTCATCTCCTGTAGTATGTCCGCAGTCTCTGGTCATCTCCTGTACTGTGTCCACAGTCCCTGGTCATCCCCTGTACTGTGTCCACAGTCCCTGATCATCTCCTGTACTATGTCTGCAGTCTCTGGTCCATCTCCTGTACTATGTCTGCAGTCTCTGGTCCATCTTCTGTACTATGTCCGCAGTCTCTGGTCATCTCCTGTAGTATGTCTGCAGTCTCTGGTCATCTCCAGTACTATGTCTGCAGTCTCTGGTCATCTCTTGTACTATGTCCGCAGTCTCTGGTCATCTCCTGTACTATGTCTGCAGTCTCTGGTCATCTCCTGTACTATGTCCGCAGTCTCTGGTCATCTCCTGTTGTCAGGGATCCTGCAGCGGTAGCCTCTAGCACTCCACAGACCGGAATCCCCCAAGGCGCGGAATCTAAGCTCCGACCTGCTTGTTCACCAGAGCCCCTGATGGTGGGGTTGGACTTGGAGCAGGCCGAGACCAGGTCGCGGCCCCTGGGTTCACCCAGCTGTGGTAGAGGCACCGTTGAAGGTGTATAGCGGGTAAGAGTCTGATGTGAGGAGGTAACTGAAGCAGCGTCGGGCAGGCCGGGTCGGTAACAGTGGTGGCGGTGTAGTACAGAATCAGTAGGCAGAGGGATAAACAGGTCACAAGCCGGGATCATCAACAGGAGGTCAGAACGTATGGGGTTAAGCAGGAGAATGGTCAGACAAAGCCAGGGATCAGAGCAGGAGAATGGTCAGACAAAGCCAGGGATCAGAGCAGGAGACGGACAGCAAATCAGGATCAGGCAGGGTCGGCAACAAACAATCTACTCACAGGAACTCAGGAACACAGATAAGACCACGCGGCACTTGAGCATTGCAAGAGTCGGGTTTAAATAGTCCGCCCGACTCCTGACAGGCGCTCCTGGGTCCTAGTGCTTGCCCAGCACCGTCATTTGTGACAGGCGCGCCTGGGTCCTAGTGCCCGCCTGCCTGTACGTTTTGTCAGGATTCTACGCATGTGCAGATTCGATCGCTGCGGCGATCTTCCCATTCCCTGACACCTGTAGTATGTGCACAGTCTCTGGTCATCTCCTGTACTATGTCTAAAGTCTCTGGTTATCTCCTGTACTATGTCTAAAGTCTCTGGTCATCTCCTGAAGTATGTCCGCAGTCTCTGGTCATCTCCTGTAGTATGTCCGCAGTCTCTGGTCATCTCCTGTACTATGTCTGGAGTCTCTGGTCATCTCCTGTAGTACATCCGCAGTCTCTGGTCATTTCCTGTACTATGTCTACAGTCCATTAGTTCAGAATATTTTTTTTCTTGTTTTCCTCCTCTAAAACTAGGTGTGTCTTATGGAGCGAAAAATACGGTACCTTTTCTCATCAGCAGTATATAGCAGTCTTGTGACTTCTATCAGTGTTCAGCAGAGCACTGGTTAAAGCTTGCAGGAGGAGTTTTAATTTTGCACTGACTGTCCTATGAGGCTGCGTAAACCCTGACCCTCTTTTTGGATTTTGCTGATTGGCCCTGTGCATGCACCCTCCCAAAGAAAAAAAACTCCCCCCAAAGAAGAAAACTGTCTAGCAATACACACTAAACTAGAGGCCTGTACTATCAGCAGATGGATTGGGGACAGTAGAAGAAGGGGAGGACCAGGGAAGGCAGGATCAAACAGCCTTTTTTACACAATGCAAAGGATTAACCCCTTAGGTTCCACAGTGAGTATAATAAACATACTTTACTGCATATACAGACTGATTTTACTGTTGTAGGTTTAGTAACACTCAAAGTATAATGCTATACGTGAGACCATAAGAAGGACAGCTGAAGAGAAAGGGGGGGCAGAAGGCTCCAACAGAGGGATAGTCTCTCCAATTGATGGACAGAGGGATAGTTGGGAGTTAAGCTTGTAATAGATTGTAAGCTCCACGAGCAGGGCCCTCACATTCCTTCTGTACTGAAATGTATTGTAATTGTATTGTCTCCCTTATATTGTAAAGCGCTGCGCAAACTGTTGGCGCTATATAAATCCTGTATAATAATAATAATAATAATATAACAATTCAGGCAACTTGGTCAGAATAATAGTCGCCTATCCTGACAGTATTAGGAGGCAGAATGATGGGAGAGTTACAATAACCATACACTGCTCAAATTTAATTGGATTCCTGCTTTGCTCATAATTCGAGCCAGTACCACATCATTTGACAAAAGTAGATTTTTCAAAGTAGCCTGTTGGAAAATTCTCAGCCCACAAGCTGGAAAAAAGAAAAGTATGAGTGCATGGTTAGCTCTCTAGTCCTCCTTAGCTTATCAGAGAAGCTGGGGAAATAGAATAAACCACAGAGAAACCAGGGAGGAGATAACAGCTGAAATATCTCACATCACTCTCTTTCCATTTTTACAAATGTCTGCCCCATCTCATGTTTCTATATTCTAACCTTTTACTGCTGACAAGGTAACAGGCAAATGTAACAGCAAGCATAGCTGAAAGAGACCTCAGGCAGGTCTTAAACATCACTTTTCAAAAATACACAAAACATCACTTAAAAAAATCACAACTTGTCATTCGCATCTATATGTAGGTATTCTTCGTTCTTTCCAGCAGCAGTAGAGTTCTTGTAGATTTTCTACAGCAATGAAAGATCTGTCACATCCACATAGCTGTGTTCTCTTACCTCTTATCCAGAAAAGAGTCAGCTGTACATCTTAGCTGCTGAATAAGTTAGCTAAGTCTGGGAATTTTTTTTTACATGATCCGTTACAAATCTTCTCATTTCTTTCGGCCACTGGGGAACTTATCCACATCTTACCAGCTGCAGGAAAGTTCTTTTAAGTCTTTTACTTACGTAGGTCCTTTTACATCTTCTCTGGCCATAGGAGAGTTCTTTCATAGAGAACAGTATGTTCTTTGACAATACATTTAGCTCTGTTACTATGAACTGTGCTAAGGGAATGTACGATTTACATAGGTATGTGTTCTTTCACACCTTACATGGGTAAGTATGTTCATGTCATTCTTTACATGATGGTGTGCTTACATGTTTTACTGAACAGTGAACAACCCTCATTTGATACAGGCCTTTGCCATTCAATGCACCGTCCTGTCTGAGGTTTAAAGTGATTCTAAAGGCATTTTTTTAAAAAAACAAGCATGTTATACTCTTTTTTTTATTGTTTGACATGTGTCGCCCTTCCGTGTGCTCCTTGCTGTGAAAGCCAGTTATAAACTGGAGCAGTGTCCATTTCTTGCACTGATGATTTGTTGGTGAAGAGCTGCACTGGACACCTAGGCTTCCATTGAGCTATGCTGGGTGTCCAGTGCTCTCCTGTACCTTCCTCGGTTTCACCTGCCCTCAGTCCATCCATTAAATATATGTGCCTCTACTATTGGGGGCTCTCAAAATTTTTTTAGAGTTAGGAACTGCAGAATATTGGGGTGCCATGATGAGGCTCTGTAGCTTACACATCTGTTTGGAAATGTGTGCTAACTAAACCCCTGTTTTTAATGCATACTGTTAGACAGGCTAATTCAGTTTGTTTGCAAGCTGGTTGGTAAGATGACCTGGGAATTTTTCTCTTTTATTGTTTGACCAACATGTTGCACAAAACAGCCCTGATCCTGCACTCCTCTTGTTCCCTGTTGGCACTCCTGGCTCCTCCTCCTTGCTGAGTGCCACCATAGCATGCCACTTGCTCTGGGGGCACTCATGCATGTTCACCCCCAAGCCGTCTCTGTGTGTCCATTGACACCCAGAGTGCGGCTCACCCTGCCCCCTCTCTCTCCTCTCTGGCTGTGACTGACAGCAGCAGGAGGCAATAGCTCCCAATGATGCCTCACTGTCCAATGAGGAGAAAGAGAGTCACTGCTCTTGTGCACATTGCTGGATCGAGATCATGATCAGGTATGTATTTGGGGGAGGGTTGAGCTGCATGCAGGTTTTTTAACTTAATGCATAGAATGATTTAACCAGTTGCCGACCGCAGATAGCCGAATGACGGCTACACTGCGGCCGGACAGTTCTGGGAGGGTGTCACATGACGTCCACCCAGAATGCGCTCTCCTGCTCACCCTCCGGGGTGTGCACCCGGCGATCTCCGTGACCGCTGTGTCCTAAGGACACAGCTGATCACGTGATGTGGTAAAAGGCCAATCACAGCAGCTTTTTACCACGTGATAAGCCGTGTCCAATGACACGCTGATCACAGGGAAATGCAATTGCCGGTTCTCGGCTGCACTTTCCTCATGCTGTCAGAATGTGGGGAAAGTACTGCCGAGAACCCGCAGTTGTCAGAGCAGGGATCAGCACCGATCATCAGGGCACTGATGATCAGTGCCCTGATGATCGGTGCCCAGCAGTGCCACCCACCAGTTCCACCCACCAGTGCCCAGCAGTGCCGCCCACCTGTGCCCAGTGGTGCCACCCACCAGTGCCCAGTGGTGCCACCCACCTGTGCCCATCAGTGCCACCCACCTGTGTCACCCACCTATGTCCATCAGTGCCACCCACCTGTGTCACCCACCTGTGCCCATCAGTGCCACCCACCTCTTCCCATCAGTTCCACCCACCTCTTCCCATCAGTGCCACCCACCTGTGCCCATCAGTGCCACCCACCAGTGCAGCCCAGCAGTTGTGCCAGTCAGTGCCCAGCAGTTGTGCCAGTCAGTGCCCAGTAGTGCCGCCAGTCAGTGCCACCTATCAGTGCTGAATATCAGTACCCATCTTCAATGCCACCTATCAGTTCAACCTATCAGTGCCGCCTATCTGTGCCACCTCATTAGTGCTGCCTATCAGTGCCGCTTTTTAGTGCCCTTCAGTGCTGCCTATCAGTGCCCATCAGTGCTGCCTATCAGTGCCCATCAGTGCTGCCTATCAGTGCAGCCTCATCAACGCACATCAGTAAAGGAGAAAAATTACCTGTTTGCAAAATTTTATAATAGAAACAAAGAAACCTTTTTTTTTTTTTTAATGTTTTTGCTATTTTTTTTGTTTATAGCGCAAAATATAAAACCCCCAGTGGCAAGTAAATATCACCAAAAGAAAGCTCTATTTGTGAGAAAAAAAAATTATAAAAATTCCATATGGGTGCAATGTTGCATGACCGTGCAATTATCATTCAAAGTGCAACAGCGCTGAAAGCTGAAAATTGGCCTGGTAAGGAAGGGGGTATAAGTGCCCAGTAGGCAAGTGGTTAAGGTGAAACTTTAATCAGTTAATTAATTCCGGCTAGATCACTTCAGGCTGGCCCCTTTTACAGGTACAGTTATGTAAAACATGAAAACTAAATGCCTATGCTGTTTTAAAATCCAGTAATACTGTGTCAAATTTGTAGGGGCTGATCTGCTGAAAGCCTAAAGATTTACTGCTGCTCAGGGGCTGTGGGCTTCAGCAAAATGGCAGCCTCCAGCAAGAAGAAACAGGAACAATACTGGAGGCAATTTACAGCACACAGTGATTTTGGTAGCATAATTACTAATGTGGAACGTATGTTCCTTAATAAAGACATTATTTTTTATCAAGTTGTTATGGGTAAGGTTTCGCTTTAAGGTAAAAAAAAACCTTGTACCTTTTCAGAACCACTTTGATACCTATAAATGATTAGGCTTCAGTGCTAAATCACTATTATAAGTTGTAGCTAATCAGACTCCAACTTTAAGTTCTGTATAGCTAAAGCCAAAACTTTATCTTTTTTTTTGCTTTGAATAAAAAAGGGAATGGTCAAATCCCTTATTTTTGTGCTATGTCCCCTTGGGAAGATTCACTTCCTAACTTTCCTTCCTTTTCTCTAAAGACAGGGAATATATCCACTCTTTGACAGTTGTAGTTGAAACAGGTGCCCCCATTGGAAGATACCCACCACATCTGTTCTAGAAACTGTAAACTTCTGGATCTCAATTTACTTTTTGTCCCATGACAATGGACCCCAGGACAAAAAAAATGGTCAGCCTGCAAAGTGAATTCATACGGGTTGATTGACTAAAGGTAAATAGACTAAGCACTTTGCAAAGTGCCGTTGCATTCTGCAAGTGCAGTTGCTCCAGAGCTTAGTAAATGAGATAAAGCTTCAGTTTGCAAAGAATAACCAATCATGTGCAATGAAAATAAAAACAAAAAAAGTATTTTTGCTCACACATGATTGGATGATGGAAGTCAGCTGAGCTTCTGCTGATTTACTAAACTTTGG